ACGTTTCCAGCCGAGGCTTGATTTCCATTTCGAAATCGGCTAAATTGATTTCCGACCGAAACCAGAAGCCGACCTTTATCCGCATAACGACTCTTTTCGGCATCAAAATAATCACGGAAATGACCAGAATGATTCTCCTATAGAAAGACTGACCTACACACACGTACGTGGTATACAAGGAAAACATTTAAGTGCGCCCGTGTGCATGTTCGATAGGGACGCGTAAGTAGATGTTTGTACATTGATGTTGCGATGAGGCACGAGCATTAGCCTAAATGCGTTACGCGTACCTTTTACAAAGGGGAAAGAAAGATGGTTAAAGTGAACCACGCCAAGAACAATAGCATTCGCATGTGTCGTGTCTCGAAAAAAACTCGGAAAAAAAAATTCAGGTGATAATGATTGTTGTTGGGATTCGTGGATTGGGTGCGGTTAGAAATCGTTACGAGAATAATATTACAGCTTTGATGCAGACAGGGTTTTTATTGTAACACCGCACAATATTAATTAATTAATTACATTGATTTCTTGCATACGGCTTGGTAGACTCCAGTAGCAAGGTTCTCTGAGAAATTTCCAAAGTTAAAGACGATGCACAAATCGGAAACGGCCTTTCTTTTTAGAGAATCTTCCAGCACCTTCCAAACCTGAGATCACATCATGGTTCCCGCGAAGCAAAACATGACGAGAACAGATGATGTTTACGGGCTGCATGTTTCAGATAACATGCTGAGATGATATCAAACATGTGTGTCAATCCCATCGCACTGGATTGGAGAACTGTGTCAGAAAGTAAAGATTAACACAACTTTTTCTTAAGGAGGTCAAACGTACAGTCGAAGAGATAATAAGAATTTCCGTTAACGTGCAACAATTATCCTTATCGCAAACACTTCTGGTGATATCATCCACCCTGAAACACCATCGTCTATTAACAAATTACTGGCCAAGGATTATTCGACCAGTACGCTCACTGCAGTGTTTCAAGTTGCACGTGAAATCATTATATACGTTACCTATTGTTACCAAAATATCACTCGATATATTGTGACCAGTTTTGGAGATATGACTGTCGTATCAATGTGATTCGAAGAGGATCAAGTGACGGTTGGTAAAAAACTGGATATTTTTGCAGGTTTGGTAGAACAGTAATGTAAATTATATTTCTGTTCACGTTCTCCGGTTAGTTTATTCAGACAAACTATCTAGGTTATTATTATTCAGCTACTGCGCTCAAAAAAAGAGGAATTACGCCCGTCAATGATAATTTGGTACACATATTCCCTTTGCATTACAATTCATTTTACCGCAGACGGCATTATGTGGTCACATTACAGAACCCTTGGTTCGTTTCGTTTCGTTTCGTTTCGTATTTCCTCGAGCTACCCCTGTGTACACTTCATTCTTCAATATCGTGACAGTCTGCAATATACGCTTATTAAGAACAACAACAGTTATTTTGCTTATGTTCCCAATTCTCTCACCCTCATTCATTTTGCCAACAAACAAGAACCGGCCGGCCAATGATAAAAAGTGGAAACAATGACGATTCCTTATACGCAAAGAGTACAGACGCTTCAATCTTAATAGTAGGAGTATCTTGGGCTAACGTCGTCCTCAGATTATTGGACACAAGAACATGATTAAAAATGCTCGTTTTAGCTCAAGGAGAAGACCTGTGATCCGATTAAAGGAATTCTATTATATTTCTTCTATTATGATTATTTATTTATTTATTTTTGTTTAACGCTAATAGCTTTCGCCAATCCGACATTATTTCCGTAAAGATATTTGATGATTGATGCAGGTCACAGGGTTAAATGAGACAATGATCTTCAATACGCCGTTGCTTTTTGACAACATTAATAGACAAACTTTTAAAGTTGAAGTTCATTGTTATCATGGTTTTTGGTAATACATGAATGTGCAATAATGAAATTGCGGGGTAGAGAACAATTGATGAAGCAACTTCTTTATCCAGGAGTATAGTAAATTTGTGGCAATTCCAATGTTTTTACTTTGATCATTGTTTGAGGCTTTAATGGCATACACCAATAATTCTCAGAATGTAGATTCGGGCAATT